CGTCCTGATCAGGATCGTAAATGTCCTCACAGTTGATGCTCAAAGTGTTCCTGCTAGTTCTGCACGCATGTTGTTGAAATCTACGTCCACGAGTCATGATGATCACCTTCCTGTCACTGCGCAGTTCTTCATTCAACTTCGTCTGCAAGATGTCGTAGTCCCTCGAATGAAAACCACACATATCATGATCAGCCATGGCAACTTCCGATGTGGATGCTGTGTATGCGATGTTGTACTTTCTGTGACACTTCGGGATTTGGGGAAGTTCATCCGACGGTGTGTTGTTGATGTTGGTCAATCCTTCAGTCAAGTTCATCACAAGTAAACCTGATTTGGAACATCTCTTGATATTCAATGGTTGATCTTTGATGGAAATCACCCCTTTTGCTAGGTCCTTCACTAGGCCTAACTTGGTTTGCGCATGCAATGAAAGAAGCAATGGGCTGTTGCCTGTTGACAATTGATATGAATCCAACTCCCCATGCATGTTCCCGTCTGGAAGCAGCAGCGAAAAAGGAATAGATCTCACACCTTCGGTCTTGGTACTACCACTTCCCAGACCAGCAAAACTCTTACAACCGTCATCCTTCAATGGCATACTGTAACCCAATCGGGCCAGTCGTGCTTCTGCATCGACTGCCCAGGCTTTGCTATGACAAGTGCTGTTGCAACCTTCATCCAACACTGCAAAGACATGGGGTGACCTGGCAATGTCAACAGTTTCATAGTTCATGTAAACCAAGTCTTGAGGGTATTGAATGTCACTTCCATGCAAACAAATGCCAACGTACCCAGCTAACTCCCTGCCCGAGGGGTCGCCGTGCCCATCTTCATTGACAAGAGAAAAACTGTCCTCTTCCTCTGTCACGTCATTGATGGCTTGATGGAGTAGTTCATGTAGACGTGCACGGGTCATGACCTCAGATTGACAGGTTTCGGTAACAAGAGTGGCAAACAGGGGCAACAATTCTTCCAACTGGACTGGATTCAATCCATCCGATTCTTCAACCAATGATTCAACAATGGGGACTGTTCGAACTGATGCTGTTTCAACCTTCTTGGCAATGGCAATACGCTCCTTGCGAATCTGCATAGGAGCTTCATCAATGAAAGTGCAACACTTCTTGCAGAAGGTACGGTGTGTTGATTTGCTGGATCCCCTAAAATCGGTGTCATCATGAGGGCAATTCTCAGGGGACATCAACGGTACCATGTCACGCCTTGTTGTTTCGGAATGACCGCACACAAGACAGGTCTTCCTGATGGTGTACCCCGTAGAACCTTGTTTTGTAAACTCACGACATTCCTGACACTTGTTCGGCAAAGGAGGATTTGGGGGTTTCTTTCTGCCAGTTCCCCGAGCCACCAACAAATCTCGGTGCTCGACATGCTCAACAGGGACTTCGCGCAAGTGAATCCCATCAGCACCAACCACAAAGTATTTGTCAACCCAATTCAACCATGTGACATAGTATGGACTCTTGGGGGTATGTTTCTTGGCATGATGATAGTACCCTGTCTGTTCAAACAACACATTCCAAAAAGACAAACCCTTGAACTGTCCAACAGGAAAGATGCACCCATGGTCCTCGGGTCTCATTGTAACATCGAGATCCCGGGAAATCAAGCCAACGTTGCTGCTGGATGCTGCTGCACGTGAAGGTCGACTGCTGGGCTTCGCTTGTCGAACTGCCATCATAGCAACTCCATCTCTGTCACGATCAGGTGAAGCCGTCAAAGTCACACCATCGTCATCTGAAGAATCGCTCATGTCGGCAAAGTGAGCTGCGGGCTTTGGGGCTGACTTTCCAGGGGCTCCGGCTTTCGACCCCGGGAATTTACATTCCGGGTCACCGGCCCAGTGCCCTATGACTCCGCATCTCAAACATTTGCTCTTCGACTTCAGCTCGGTGAGCTTCCGTCTCCTCTGATCGATCGTGAGGTTGGACTTCACGATCTTTCCTTTCCCCTTTCCTTTGGGCTTCCCAAAGGATTTGCCCTTGCCACCTGCTTTCCCCATTGCAGTGAAAGCAGCAAGTTGTAGCTGGATGGCGTCTCCTGCTTGTCGATCATCTTCTGCACCTTCAACTTCAAGCAAGCTGTTCAATGCAACTGCTTCGTACTCATCGACGTCGTCAAAGTAATCAAATTCGTTGTCACCTTCTAGGTTTCCTGGCTCCTCTTCTGCAATGTCACCAAGCATGCCAACATATGAATCATCCTCCCAGGATTGATCCGCAGCTTCATCCCAAGATTCTGCATGTTCCTCCCCATCATCGGGGTAGGCTGCATAGGCTGCTTGGGAATACGATCCCTTCGAAGAAGGTTTGCCTTTGCCATAACCCTTGCCTGACGACTTGCCATGCTGTTGAGGATTACCACGTCCTGTCCAGGATCGTGACCCTTCTCGCAAGTGAGTGCCACTGTAGTTCTCGATCAGCACCTTGCCAACACCTTCAAAATCCTTAGTGTCTGCACAGGCCTTCACAACGAGGATCTCTTGTCGATTGAGTCCACTCAACTCCAACATCAACTCTGTCCTCAAGCTGTCTGAAAACACCATTGTGTCATCCAACTCGCATAGCATGTGCCACCAACGTCGTCTCCTCTGAACATAGGAAAGCATGGGTTCGCCTGGTTGGCGAGACAAAGGACCACCTTGCTTCTGTCCTGCACGAAATAGTTCCTTTGCTTCCTCACGAGCTCTTGGAAACACATGGCATTTGATCTCACCCACAAGTGTCACTAGCCCTCCAGGTTCAGACAATACTTCAAGTCCAAGATCCCTAGCTATTGAGAAAGCATCTCCTCTCAGTCCTTCAATCACCTTGTTGACCAATGGTCCACGATCAACATCTGTCTTCTGCTTGCCGGACTTCGAGGATTTTCGGCTCGTTCCAGACTTCGGAGTCGAGACCGCTGATGTAGGCTGGGTTGCTTGAGTTGCACCCGACAAATCTGGAAAAGTAGCATACTCATCTGCGTCTTCTGCGGCAGGCTCTGTTGCTGTGGTCCCAACGGGATCCGCAGACTTACTTGTCTCCTCCAGTTGTTGCTCATAAAGACGAATCCGAAGGAGTGTCCTGAACTGCCAATCATGAAAGTTCGCCGCATCACCTGCATAGATGTACGATCCACTCTTTGTCTCAAGTGGTGCCGACGAATGGCGCTCCTGGCTGAAACGAAGGCCATTGATCGACATGATGCTCGCTCCGTTCGGAGTCGAACAAGGAAAAACGTTAACAAGTGTCTGCCCTGGTCAGGGTCAGACAGATTCCCGAACCACGACACACTCGAAGTTCAGTTGATTCCCAAAGTTACCAGACTCAAATTCACAAAGGGTTCCCTGGGTCACTGACGTACCACCGGATGCGGGTCGTCACCCGCTCCGCTACCAATATGAATTGGAAACGGGATCGTCAAATGCCCAACTTTTACCACGGCAGCGCGGTATGACTCAAGGGCCCTAAAGCCAAATGTCAACGGGGGCATGTGATCACTTGGCTATACAAAATATACATTAGACAGGTCAAACTCACACTTTCCTTGGCCTAGACACAGATTGTTTCAAGAACTTTCCACGCTTCACCCCTGGCGGCAAAGAGAGTTTCAGGCTATCCACGCAGCTGTAATTTGAGCTATGCAAAAGGACGTCACCTGTGCCAGTGGTCCTTCCCTGTTTCGCACACAACTTGCGCCGCACAACAGCTGTTCTGAGCAAAGTTTGACACATAAACAACACCTGGAAAAGTTGAATTAAAAAAGAAATCACCTGATGACAATGATACAGTATGTATATGTATGTAGCCGTTCCCAAATCGACAGAAATGGCAAACCCATCTTGACTAGAAGGGAAGCCGTCCCCATAATTATTTGGAATCATTCGCGTCCCTTCTGTGTTGCAAGCTGCGAATTATCAAATTCAAAAGAACTTTACAATCACTCTATATATTTGATATGGGCTTCAAGTGCATGCTGACAGACTGAAAGTGGTTGGTAGAACGGCCACTGTCTTCCGTCAGCAGGTTCGTCTCAATGCACCGGATGTATTGATAGGTGCGTTTGAACTTCTTCACATTGGTGTGATCAGGCAACAACTTCTACCTGATTCAGAATGGCATGGCACATTTTTAGCGACATGTCATTGATACTTCTTCTAAGCTTCGGTTCCAAGCTACCATCAAGATACATCAAGCTGGTTTTGTTTCTTTTAGAAGATGCAAATCGTTCAGAATTTCAGAACATGGTCACATGGTATCTCTCCGACTACCGGATCCAATAATTCCCTTACTGACTCGACATCTCATCTCTCTGGAATGGAAGATCATTGGATACCCAAATATGCATCAATATGCATCAATATGCATCAATATGCATCAATATGCATCAATATGCATCAATATGCATCCCGACATGGAAACCATTGAACACCTATTGTCACTGTGCCAGCAATTGCCAGCATCTCCTTGCAAACTTGTCACTTTGCCAAGCGCCAGCATCAAACCTTTTGATACCTTTTGAATGAACCAACGGGTGTTACACATTTGCTTTACAACCCTGACTTGACGCTTCCCACTGTTGGAAATGGCCGCAGCAGGAAGATCCATCTTCCAGGCCCAAAAACAGAAAGCATCCTCAAAATCCACCAAAACTTGACCGCGTGTTCCATCATGTTCATTCATGCTCCCCATCAAAATGGATTTCTTGCTTTTTCTCCACACATTTTTTCCACTATCTTCATTCATATTCATGAAATGGTATCCATTTAAACATGTTCCATCATTTGACAGGACATGTGGCATCATGGTTTAAAAATAGTTGAACATGCTTACACATACTTAAACATAGTCAACCATACTTAAACATACTTGAACATACTTAAATATAGTTAAACATACTTAAACATACTTAAACAATCTTAAACATGCAATGCTTCATCAAAATTAAATCATGTTCAATGGCATGTCACACTTTCTTTAGGGCCCATCCCCCTAGCATTCATCCGCCAAGCAACACCGATCGTCAGCGACATGTCTGCCTGGACCCGGCTGGGATCGACTGCGGCGATGGATATTTACCGACATGTGGGTGATTTTGAAGGTAAATGTTGATAAATATTCCATACATGGAGCACATGGGATATAAAATGTCTACATATCCACATGATTCCACATGTCCATATTTTTGGCCTACTGGCAGCTTCAATATAAGCAAAAATGAATGAACATGATTATATCTATTATAGAATTCAACATTTCCACCATCAGTCTTTGGGGGACTTCGCCCATTTTTGCTGTGGACAAAACCCATTTTTCAGGAAAGGATTTTGGATTCGGAAATGTCTGTCACCGCCCAGTTCGCACCTTCTCCACCAGTCGTCGCCAATCCACAGGCAGTTCGCACAGTTCCGAGACGCTACGCTCAGGGAAGGTACGAAATGGTCCCAGCTTGTAGGCACCCAAGTGGAAATAGAGTTGTAAGTCGCCCACCTAACCAACACCCAGAGTTTTTTATGTTGTTTTACATGTCTAAACTGTTTTGAACTGGCAAATTTTGGAGATTAATTTTAATCCTCTTCAACCATCTGCCATATATATATATAAGCATAATAAATATATATATATAATATATAAGCATATATATATAATCATGTATATATATAATCATATATATAATATATATAATATATAATCATATATATAATATAATCATATATATAATATAATCATATATATAATCATATATATATAATCATATTATATATATAATCATATATATAATATATAATCATATATATAATATAATCATATATATATATGATTATATATATAATCATTGTTCAGTGATCAGGAAAGATGTTTGCATGTGTTGGCCCTGTGTTTGCATGTGTTTGCCGCTGTTCAATCAAAACCAAGGTCTGAAGTCTTCATCTTGGCTGAACAGGTCCACTAGGATACAGCATGATATCAGCATGATGCACATGGAAAAGACACCAGAAGCCCAGTCTTGCTACAATATTCGTCAGACCGGACTAGAAAACATGAGATCTACTTCACAACCTTCACAGGAGCCATTTATTAACTAATATGAATTTGATGAGAGCTACTTGAGTGTTCTGTAGTAATCTTCTAAATGTGATTGGAATGAGAGCTACACTTAACGCCAGTGATGTGTATTGTGTACATCTCAGAAATCAGTCCACCGGTCCTGCCAGGTGACTGCTTCGTCACCTAGAAACTTCAGCTGCAAACTCCCGAACTTTGAGGCGGCCTCACATCAGATGGGTCACTGTTGTCACACTTTCAGCGGTGCATAGCGGTGCTAAATGCTAAGTCTTAGGGTCTCCGGTGACCATGTGTCGTGGGGAAGCTCTGGAAGCAGAGTGAATCCCAGCAACTCGAAAAGCATAAGTAAAAAACCCATGCCATTTTCCTACTTCACTAAGTGTTCACTCTTTTTGGTCCCTTCAAGGAAACGAACCTTTAATGGGAAGCCTTAAATGCTTCAAAGTTGGTCTGCCCTATCAGGGCTGTCCATGGTTGAAGATGCTTGAAGTATCTTGAAGTATACCACCGGACGAACTGCAACACTGATGTTTGATGAGCAAGTCATCCCATTAGGCGAGCGCCCACGCACCACTCCTTGCGGGCGCCTTGCTAGAGGCCTGCTGTTTTTTGCCCTTGTTCTGGGAAGCCCATGTGTTTCCAGCTGCAAAAATCCTTAGCAAACGAATGATACCGCAAAATCACTCGCCTGGGAATTAGATGCTGCAACATTGTACCAAAAAGAACATACATGATGAAATCATATAGTACAGTATATAAATGCACTCTGAACTGGGATCTCATGGAATCATTACCATATTGGCCAACAAATGTGAACAGACTATCCTTTTCTCCTTGTCTGTTCTTTTTTCCACCCAGCTGCACTCGGAAATCCTCCAAGAGGTGGTTGCTCAGTTGATGCGACACCAACGGAAATCCGCAGCTCGCCTGGCCCAAGTAGCTGTGGGATGCCATGGGTTTGGGGCATAAAAAAAATTGTCATCATGATATGTGAAACATTGTGAAGCCATGAAACCACCATGATATATCATGATATATCTATCCCATTACCAACAAATATGTTTTTTTCTAGGTATGAAGCCTATGAAGCATTCAATGTCAATCTTGAGCTTCGCTCGCCACAGGTCGCCTTGAACTTCGCGTTGGGATTCATCACCCGCCACATCACCAGGCTTGGGGTGGGGAGAAGCTCGGCCAACGGAAGCTGAATCTTGTCCTTGGCTGGTGTGGAAGTGTTGGTTTCAAGATGTTTCAAGTTTTGCTCCTTGGCATATTTGGCATTGTTCTCCAATTTTTCCGTCTGAACCATGGGTCTGATAGGTAGAAACCAGGTAGAATCATTGCAGCATCTGAAGAGTTTGAGGAATGTTCCGACATGAGATTCTGTGTAGCTTCAGCCAGTAAAAACAATATTTCATTGCTGCCCCTATCCATTTAGACATATCAACATGTCATAAAATGTAACATATATTATATTACAATATCATACAATATATATATATATATATATTCACTTATATTCTATTATTGTTCATACGGATTCACATGGTTCATATTGTATTGGATTGTATTGGTACGAGCACTACATATACGCACATCAAAACTGCAAGACTCATTGACCCCCTTTTTGGCCTTTGGCAAACAGTCGATTCCGAACAATCACAGTGAAGATTCTGAAACATTCTGAAACGATCACAGTACTGCCCAATGTTTTTCTCCAAGTTTCCGCGTCAAGGCAGAGCTGTTTTGGTTTCAACAAGGGTGAACTTTCGACGCTGGCCGAAGTGGATTGCGTCCACCACGTCTCCGTGCCTGACGCGGCTGAGGGAGAGGGAGTCTCCGACCACGTCTCCGGCTCCGGAGTCAAAAGGTGGTCTCGCGCAGTGCTGCGGTGGCCAGCCGGGCCAGCCGTTGCCACTTCGACCACTTCGATGGGCGCCAGCGAAGGCGTCACCTTCATCACCTCCTGTGGGGTCACCTGGCGGGCCTTTGCTCCGAAATTGAAATCTTTCACCTGCAACTCGTGGAGAATGCACTCCAACAATTTCGCCTGATGCTCCAAGGGGGTGGCCATGGTCTTCAACTCTTAGGAATGATTTGGCGACCGATCTGTGCACTTGGCGCAACTGTTGAACAGCCTCGTGGCTTCGGACATCGACGTTACCATCTAAAAACTGTGCTCCTCAGCATGCATGACACAAGGACAAGACTCGAATTCCCACTTTTCACAGTACTAAACAGTGAAACAAACAGACATTTTAAGAGATCATGTTGGCGATATTGGTTTATTCATGAACATCTACACGTTTCATGTTTTTGTATGTTTCTAATTCATGTTTGATCCATCGCCATGTCTGTTTGGCAGGCCCGGTTTCTGGGTTTTCCAACTTGGTCATAGATGAGGCATCCACGAGTTGCTGAGCAGCCGAGGTGCATGGCATGTCACCATTGGGTAGCAAGGAAAACTTAGAGTTTCAATATGTGGCCAACAACATGAAATAAACCATAATAAACAACATAAAATAAACATTTTATAATATGTTTAACATGTTCGCCCCAACCCGGACGTTGCTCCACACTTTCAATCGCCATGATGATGATGATGATGATCATCATCATCATCATCACATCATGATCATCATCACAATAAAATTTGCCACCCCTCTGAACAATATGTTGATTGGGGTACTAACATCAAGTTTATCTTCATGAGGGGTCAAAATTTGCCACCCCCTCTGAACAATATGTTGGTTGGGGTAAAAACATTAACTATATCTCCGTGAGGGATCAAAATTCGCCACTCCCTATCTTCATGAGGGATCAAAATTTGCCACCCCCTATGAACAATATGTTGATTGGAGTAGAACATCAAGTTTATCTTCATTTGAGATCAAAATTTGCCTCCCCCTATGAACAATATGTTCATTGGGGTAATAGCATCAAATATATATTCAGATCCACCTGAAGTCAGACGCGGCGCAACGTCAGGGTTGCAGCGAACATGTTTAAACCATAATAAGCAACAACAACAACAACACCAACACCAACACCAACACCGACAACAACAACAACAACGACAACAACAACAACAGCAACAACAACAACAACCACAACAACAACAACAACCACCAACAACAACAACAGCAGCAGCAACAGCAGCAACAACCAACAACCAACAACCAACAACAAACAACCAACAACCGACAACCAACAACCAACAACCAACAACAACCAACAACAACAACAACCAACAACAACAACAACAACCAGCAACAACAACACCAACAACAACAACAGCAACAACAACAACAACCACAACAACAACAAAAACAACAACAACAACCAACAACAACAACAATAACAACAACCAACAACCAACAACCAACAACCAACAACCAACAACCAACAACCAACAAACAACAACCAACAACAACAACAACAGCAGCAACAACAACAACAACAACAACCACAACAAAAACAACAACAACAACAACCAACAACAACAACAACAACCGACAACCGACAACCGACAACCGACAACCGACAACCGACAACCGACAACCGACAACCGACAACCGACAACCGACAACCGACAACCGACAACCGACAACCGACAACCGACAACGACAACAACAACAACAACAAACAACAAACAACAAACAACAAACAACAAACAACAAACAACAAACAACAAACAACCACAACCACCACCACCACCACCAACAACAACAACAACAACCAACAACCAACAACCAACAACAAACAACCAACAACCAACAACCAACAACCAACAACCAACAACAACAACCAACAACCAACAACCAACAACCAACAACCAACAACCAACAACCAACAACCAACAACCAACCACCAACAACCAACAACCACAACAACAACAACAACCAACAACCAACAACCAACAACCAACAACCAACAACCAACAACCAACAACCAACAACAACAACAACAACAACAACCAACAACCAACAACCAACAACAACAACCAACCAACAACACAACAACAACAACAACCAACAACCAACAACCAACAACCAACAACCAACAACCAACAACCAACAACAACCAACAACCAACAACCAACAACCAACAACCAACAACCAACAACAACCAACCAACAACAACCAACAACCAACAACCAACAACCAACAACCAACAACCAACAACCATCAACCAACCCAACAACCAACAACCAACAACAACAACAACAACAACAACAACAACAACAACACCAGCACCAGCACCAGCACCAGCACCAACACCAACACCAACACCAACACAACAACCAACAAACAACAAATGAAGAAATGGCCAAGCAGCTTCCGCCAAGTTCAATCTCTTTGACATCATGAAGCATCACTGGAATTCAACATGCCTTCACTACTTACCTGTGATTTCAGTATATCATGTCCAGTATCAAGGATGAAAGTACTCAAGCTCAACTTGAGTGATGCGCAGAATATGCCAAGATTCAATGCTTTGAATTGCGGAGAATTGGTGACCTTGAGGCCCCTCACATTTGGCCATGATGCCACCGCGAGTTCGAGGAGTGCACAAAGGAGTGATGGTCTCGTACCTTGGAGGATGGTGAATATTGTGAACCCAGTGGATACTTGATGATAGATGATTATAAATGGGGGTTTCCTATAATGAGGATCCCCAGTAGCTGGATGGTTTATAATGGAAAACGCCACTAAAATGATGATAGATGATGATAGACGCACCTTAACTTGCACAAATTTGCACATGTTTGCACAGCATCCAAGCCAGATTCTTCTGCGGATGTGCCGTTCGTGGAGACCAGCATGTTTGATCAGCTGTTCATGCTGAAGCTGACCATAGAAGATACATCAGACAAGTAGACACAATTGGGTGATGGAAATTTGACTATTAGGTTTTTTAGTAGTTTACCCGAAAAACAAATGGAGAAATTAAAGGAGATGAAAATAAAAACAAATAGAGAAATTGATGGAGATGAAAATTCAACTATAGGTTGTTTAGTAGTTTACCCTAAAAACAAATAGAGAAATTGATGGAGATGAACATTTAACTATAGGTATTTTTAAGTAGTTTACCCTAAAAACAAATAGAGAAATTGATGGAGATGAACATTTAACTATAGGTATTTTTAAGTAGTTTACCCTAAAAACAAATAGAGAAATTCATGGAAATCTGATGGAAATTGTCAACTCAAAAGCAAATCATATTCTTCCCCTCGCAAGCTAAGCGACTGCCCCACCGCTGGCCAGTTCTTCTTGGCATTGGGATCATCTCGAGCAATCCGACTGAACCTCGAACAGATTCTTGTATATACTTGTCGAAGGAAGTTTAGAAGTCAAACTTCCGACAATATGGACAGATGAAAAGCAGAGCTGGGCAGAGGCAGAGAGAAGAGGAGAGCAGAAGAGAGAAGATCAGAGAAGAGAAAGAGTCAGAAGAAAGAAGATGCAGATGCGCGAAAAGGTAGGAAAGTCGCGAAACACTGTGTTTTTCAAAGGATTTGAGGCTCCGGAGGGTCGAAAAGTAGGCTCGCTAAAGCGGCGGGTGCGGAGCCAGCTGGCCAGATGAGATATGAAAAATTGCACGCCGTTGTGGCGCGAAGCACATTTCGAAGTCAAAATGTACAAAACACCTCAGCATCGGACCACTTTTGGAAGTTGAGATGTCGAAAAAGTGCACGCCGTTGTGGCGCCAAGCACATTTCGAAGTCAAAATGTACGAAACACCTCAGCATCGGACCACTTGGAAGTTGAGATGTCGAAAAAGTGCACGCCGTTGTGGCGCGAAGCACATTTCGAAGTCAAAATGTACAAAACACCTCAGCATCGGACCGCTTTTGGAAGTTGAGATGTCGAAAAAGTGCACGCCGTTGTGGCGCGAAGCACATTTCGAAGTCAAAAGTGCAAGAAACTGAGGGGTACGGAACACTTTTGGACGTTCAGATGTCGTTTTGCGTGGTAGGCAGAAGGGATTGTGCACCTTGTCAAAAGTGAGCAAAACGTGAGGGTTTTGTGGCATTTCCAAAAACGATGGCAGGCGTAGGACATTTGAAGAGGATTTGCAAAGATGCCTTTCGCGAAGCAGGCGCCGTACAAAAGACATGTTCATGAGAGATGTTCGGAGGTCAGGGCGCTGATTTCCTGAGAGGGGTTGCATTTTGGAGCATCAGGTCTTCAGGTTTGCTGAGATATGTTGTCAAGTTCAAAATTTGAGGAAGTCTCGCAAAATTGCTGAGTTTTTGATTGATTGATTGATTGATTGATAGATAGGTAGATAGATGGATAGATAGATAAACAAATAGCTAGAAAACTAGACAGCTAGATAGATAGGTAGATAGATAGATAGATAGGGAGATAGATAGATAGATAGATAGACAGGCAGACAGATAGATAGGTAGACAGATAGATCAGTAGGTAGGTAGGTAGATAATCAGAGAAAGATAGAGAAACGGAGAGAAAAAGGAGAAACAGAGAGAAAAAGAGAGAAAGAGAGAGAAAGAGAGGAGACCTCAAGCACCTTTCAGTCCATCAGTGGCTTCGCTCTGCCATCCGTGATTCACAACAACCAACCTCTCCTATAGGTTTCCTAGTTTTGAAACTTCCGCCACCGCCTTGTGCGGTACTACTGGTACATATAATATATATATATAGTATTATAGTATATTGATGTATATTGTGCGTTGAGACTGTATAATCTGTATACACGCTAAGTATGCTTGTGTTCCAATATCAGACCAGCAAAACACGTTGCAAACATTTGCTTCTTGCTGTTTCTTCTTTGGGAGGGTGGATCATCCTGTGGGATCCAAGGATCTGACTGCCCCAATGGCGCCTTTTGGCCGAAGGGCCTTGGAAAATCCCCTTGGGGGCGACATGGTGCAAAAAGACTTCATGTCTTTTGACCGTGGACCCTTGGTCAGCACCGTTAGGAAGCTGCCGGATCTGCCGGTGTAACACACGAAAGAAAAGAAAAAAAGCATGTCGAAACACTGGAAATGGGATGAAATCGGCTTGCGGTGGGAAGACACTTTGCAATGCATCTGCGTCAATTTGCGGATCCTTGGGTCATGGCTTTCCCTCCTTCTTGTAGTAGTCAGGGCCAGGATACTTCGCGTTTTTCTTCACCTGCGAGCATTTCAGCTGAGTCAGAAGTTTATCAGCAGCTGATCTTTCATGATTTTCATGCTACTGCGCATGATTTCGGGATGTTTTCTGCGTATCTGGAGCATATCATGTTGCAGTGAGATTTCCAGCAACTTCTCTGCACCAAAATCTTGCCTCGGTGAACAAACTTCCAGCCTCATTGGAAGCCTGGCAGATTTCATGGACTACCTACGGGTACCTTCATGTACCTTCTCCCCTCAGCTTGCCTTGTCTTGAATAGTGTATTCTATTTCTATTATTTCTCTGGATGTTCATGATGTATCGTGATGCCATCATCTTTATACAAGGCACTCTTTGGAATTGAACTATCCCGGAGGTGAGTAAGCGACAAAAGATACAAGAGCTTCTGTGAATGTTCAAACGTACACCCGCACAACTGGACTGCTTGCACCTTGGGCATAGTACCACCGGGCACCGGTCCGTCTCTACCGCATTTTGGGACACAGTACCTATCAGATCCTATCCCCATCGTGAGGATAACAAGGTGCCATCCTCAAAACGCATCAAAACGCAGCATGTGTCTGTCATTCCATTCCCGTCTATATACTCTTGCTCGTCGCATGGCGCACGCATCCAGCGCAAAGCCGTTCTCTTCCATGTTCAGAGCCTTCGAACATGGAGCAAAATTCGAAGTTGACTATTGAAGAGTTCCAAGATGTTCCAAGTCTCAAGCCCTGTTCAATCCTATTTCATCCTATTTCAACAATCAGATTGGATCCTGGGTTACCCATGGGTTCATCAGGGTTTCATCCAAGAAGGGCTCAGAAAGCCAAGTCCTGAGACTCCAACTGCCGGGGCTGTAGCTGTTGTTCAGCTCGCGCACCAGACCTGACTCCAGAAGCCGTGGGATCCATGGGTCCTTTGTTAAAGGCTCGCCACCAGCATCCTACAGCATCCTACAGCCATCTTGACCAGTCTTGACCTCGTTTATCTTGGATCATCTTGGATCATCTTGGATCATCTTGGATCATCTTGGATCTGTCAAGATGATCATGGTGATCTTTGACGACCCGACATCACCAGCTGCTGAGTTCTGAACCAATTGAGACGCACTGATCCCAGAAATCGAGCCGGACGCGGCGTTGTGGAAATCATACAAACCACGGTCAAGAAGCCAGCCTTTGTCACATATGTGATGGATGACGACTTGCCAAGTCGTCCAAGTTCATTTCCGATGGTCTTACTTTGTATGTAACTTGGTATGCATGTTGACATTCTATAGCCAGAAAACATCAGAAAGCACTCGATGCTAACCGTAACCATTGTTAACCTGCGTCCCCCACATTGGGTGTTCTCTCCACATATCTACACGTTTTTCTAGCAGAGTCGAGCTCTTTACGCAATAACACGCAATCCTATCCCTGGTTTTTTTCTTTGGCGTCTACGAGCTGAGCCAGAAGGGCACGTTTCACCCGAGCCAGCGTTGCCATGCGCTGTACACGACCTGTAGCAGGGGAGAGTCTACCAGGAATCATTATACCAGTAGCATATGTAGCATGACAAAAGTATGCTTTATTAAGCATTGTTCAACAGCAAATGCTAACAAAATATCATCCTGAGATTCAACCAAGATCGAAAGAACGGGAAGCTATATACTCACTTAAGTCAGGGCTGAACTGGTGAATTAGTTGCGTTTTTTGAGATTTTTTGAGGCACCAGATGTTCACACAAAGCTAATGTGTCAACTGTGTCAACTGTGTCAACTGTGTCAACTCTGAATTCATCATGATCCCATCGTGCAGCACCAGCTCCAGGTTCAACAGTTCACCTTGCCTGAATTGCGTTCCTCTTGGAGCTGATCAGCGACTTCTTCCTTCTGTGAATGGAAGTGCAGGGCTGCCTGAGCCCTTGATTTGTCCTCCTGATACTGAGCCTTCTGGTCTCTCAGTTGCTGAGACAACTTCGAGAGTTCTGCTTCAAGACGATCTTTCTGTGCTTCCATTCGAGACAAATCGTTCAAGAGTGAAGATGTCTCATCTCCTTTTTCATTGTTTCGTGCTCGCAGTTGCATCAATTCCGCTTCCGTGTCGTGGATCAAATTCCGCTCCTCCAGCTCAATGCGTTCGAGTCGTTGGCTTTCCATGTGTTCCTCTTCGCGCAGTCGCTCCTTCGAAGGGGGGACAAGTGCGGCCTGTATTAAAGTCACATGAGCCAGTAAGAAAAACAGAGCTCACAAATACCATAGCCAATCTGTCAAAAATAAAAATAAAAATAAACAGCAAAGAAGTAATCATCAAAAAAGTATTAAAAATATGTGTCTCGAATGTTGTCAAGTGTCCAGTTCTTGTGCTAGAGCGTGCCAACGTCGATGACCACCCACCTCCGGATGATTTAGACCGAGTTTTTCCAAGGTCTCCAGACTGGCCAAGATCGCAGTCAGCACTGGAGAGGTTTCTCCAATGGCTCCTTCCTGAAGGTCAAGGGACTGGGACTATTGTGGACATTAAAGGCTCTGTGGCAGAGGAGTAATGGATATTATGGAACTGTATAAATTGAGTATGCACTCAATGGTTTATGAATGACAATGCTTAATGATGTTGAATGAGATTGCTTATGGTGCCTAATGGTGCTTGATGGTGATTGACGATGCGTAATGTAAGATGCATTGAACAGGCTTTGGAACCCCATCTGGTGGAATCAAAACCAGCAAGGGAGAGAACATCTCCACGTCTATAGTCTATAAGTGTCAAGTCTCGAACATTAAGTGTTTGTAGTATGACGCCGATGATGGCAAGGAAGACACACTGGCGTTCTCATCCTCAACGCTGGACGGAGCAACAACCATTGCGTAGAGGGACAAGTTCCGCTGCGTTTCGATGATCAAAGCATTCAAGTCTTCAGGTGAGAGGTCTTCGGGTGAGAGCTCATCATCTGAAACAATCCTGTTATGCATGTTCCCAGCAACACCAAACAGTTCACCCCCGCTAAATATTCAAAAAACTGGGATGAATCATCCTGACTAGTGGGATAAATCATCAAAGATTCTCTGAGATCACCATCCACTGGCGATTGACACCCAAATGGGGCTGTTAGGGACATCAAAGGATAGCCATTTCGTTTCCGAGCCACTTCGGGCTGAGATTCGGAGCTTGTGGTGGAAAATCTGGTGGAATCTGGCTGACCAAAGGAAAATCTTCACCGATCCATTGCTTGTCTTCCACCTTCCAAGTCGGACCCTTGGGATGGAAAAATGATGGAAAGTGATTGATGGAAGAGGTACAGTACTCTTTTCATCTCTTTTCACCATCTGCAATTTTTGCACTATATTATACATGGCCTGATGAAATATGTCAAATAATTATCCATGACGTTCACTACATGGTGCCTGATCCTCCTTGTCCAAAATAAGTTCTGCATTGATGGAGAGTCGTTCAGCCGCAGAGGTCAGTGCAGTAACAGCTTTGGAGATTTCTTCTTCATAGATGTCAGGGGATTCACGAACATCTGGAGGAGCTTCCAACTTGTCACTTTCTGATCTGCGAATAGCTTGACAAATCTCCTGATTTGCATCTGCCAATCTAGCAATGTTCGCTTCTAGTTGCCAGAGCTTCTGAAGCAGTTCGTGCTTCCACTCGGAGTCACGTCGATCCTCCCGCTCCCTGGCTTCAACCTCTCGCTTCTCTGGGAAGGGAGCTTGTGGAGGTTGGGCTGGGTACATGGGTGGCATGGGTGGCATGGGTTGCATCACCGGGAAAGGAACCGGCAAGACATTCACGCCACAGGCTCCACAGGCGCCAGGGACACCAGGGACACCAGGGACACCATAGGCTGGCGTACAGGGACTATAGCAAGGCCCAGGTCCGCCAGCTCCACCATAGGCTTCTGGTGCTTTGGCCTCATCGCGCACCTGAGTCCATCCATGTCCCCAAAGCTATTGGTTTGTTATGGTTTATAGTTTATTGATATTATATAAATATCGTTTAACAAAAACACACATCCAATACACATATTATATTATCATATAATATCATATATAATTGTATGCAGTCTCCCATAGTTCATTGTCCCTATCCCCACCATAGGTTGGTACAACCCGAAGGACTAGATTGGAGTATGATCCTCTCCACTAAACCATGCCTGTACTGGATGACCCATATCGAGGTTTCCATAGGTTTCCTATGGGGGCACCACCAAATTCAAAATCAGACCATTTTGGTATTGAAACCCATGGTGACAAGGGGGTCTCCCACTTTAACAAACCTGCATATACTACACCGATCCACAACCAGGGCTTTGGGCATGGCTCACCTTGCCCTTTTCTCGCTCCTTTCGATCCTCCTCCACCGCAACCTTTGGTCTCTTGGGAGTCCTCTCTGTCCTCCGGTCTGTTCTCGGAAGTTCGAAGCTGAAGGTCCACTTCACCAAACCGATCCTCACCATATCACCATGGTTCAAGGTCACCTGGTTGGTGGCTGCGCCTAACAAATCATGATGGATCACCATCCCATTTCTATGGTGGAAAATTTCAAGCAAAGACGCTGAAAAAACCTCTGAAAACCAGCCAAGTCACGGGCGAGTTCGCACGCAGGCGCACACCGTTCACGAAAGTGCCGTTGCAGGAGCCCAGATCCACCAGCTGGGGTTCTTTGCCGAAGGTCCTCATGCTGTCAGTTTCTGAGCTGCTTGGCAGAGGTTTTGCTAAAGCATGGTACTCCAAATCTTCATAAATCTTCTAAATTTGACCATGTTAGTATTGAGACTCAACTGAAACTCATGGTTTTGGGGATGCCCCATGTTAAGAAACTCCCAAATCTTGGCAATGGTCATGCGAAGGATGCAAATCGGAAACAGAGTGCAAACGACATCAGCTCTTTCCATCACAAACAAGGCACAGGCGCGCATGCAACTTCGAGACACCTCTGCCTTCAAGTGGGATACTACAATCCTCTGAACGACCAATGGTGGTTTCAGGCTCTTCCAATTGGTAGACAATGCCAGTTGCTCGCAACAAGCCATAGACACGAGGCTCGTCTTCGCCCATCGTATGTGGTCGTGCATGTTTCAATCTGGCAACAGAGGTAGTTTAGACATGTTTAGACATGTTGAGTCTGTCTACTGTTCTGAACATGGGCTGAAAATCAGACGCTACATGGAAAATTAGGAACATATTTGAGAACTGTTCCGCTTCACTGGAGTCTTCATGACTGTTTTATGTCTTGCATTGCACATTGAGTAGACCTGCATTTGCTCTATTTAAAATGTCAGTCCTGCCTCGGCACTTGCTAACTCTTGAGTTGTGTCAATTGGATTCTTTAAAGCTGTGAGTTCTTGGAAATTGAGCACCATGCGACTCAGCTGCGGTTTGTCGGCCAAGATCAGCAAGTAAATGATGCATCTACAGAAAGGTATGATGCCACTTCACCAGCAATGGAGTGCCAACAGCCGATCGACAGGGTGAAATACGCCAGGCAGAAAGTCAGTGATAGGTTGCTTACGTCTCAAGTAGAGACTTCACTCTGGAAGTATTTGTTTTCGCGAAAGCATTTGGATATTTTTGTTGTGATGCGAACGTATTCGTGCGGATCGGGCTCCTAGTCTACTCGGTTGCAGGCTTAGCCTGTTACCGGCTCATTGGACTGATTTTGACTCACACCATGGAAGTTGCGGCAACAAATCTACTCACACAACAGTTCTGCAAATAACAGTGTTGGGGGCCGAAAACATGTTTCCCTTGGTGGCTGCTGAAGATCCATGGCAGGGTCAAAACGAATTCGTTTGCAAATGCTCTGGTGAGAATTACATTTATGAGTTACAAGTAGTAAAACAACACCAGATTTTGCACGGACGTCCAGAGTCAATTGCCATTAACGGTTCTGAAATTATGTCACATCATGTCACATCTCTCCATGACATCTTCCTGACAATGCAAGGGTGCCAGGTGTCGCAGTTTGGCAACACCAGATTCGATCTGCTACACAATCTACATGCCCAGCTCTGCGATTATTCCTGCAAGCTGTGATACTCCAGTGGAGCAGTCTGTGACTTGCCGTTTCAATGGACAGTTATTTTTCAATGGTGGATGTCCTTTCAAAGAAGCATCAGAGCATCCAAGCAAGTTAGGATATGCCGCAATCATGCTGCTCATGGCATCTTGCCAGCTTCGAGTACCGCATACATCAAATCCAACTGCTGCACTGGCTTCAGTGCTCCCACAAAAATCAAAACATTCATGGTGGCCTGTGGATGTTTATTACATTTCTATTAAATATACATAATAATGTTTTACACATGTTTTACATGTATTAGGATAAGATCAGATTAGACAAGATTGTACATGTTTTTTTTCAATTCTACCTATCTGATCCCACCGGGCCTTGAAAGCAACTCCACATCACCAGCAGCCAAAAACTCACCTGGATTTTTGGCGGCATTGGTGTACCAATGGAGCCAGCAAAATTGATCCCATCCCCCAAAAAAAAATGAAAAAAAAAACAGAAAACATTCTTTCCTGGAGGATTCACACGCACGTTACGACCATTTAGGGGCTGTTTCATAGGGGGATGTGGTTTTCATGTAGTTTCTTTAACCGTCCCAAGATGGATCAACATCTCTACACCAGCTGGAAGTGAGTTATGGGACCACTCCGTCCCATGATCGGATTGCCGGAAAAAACACGTGTTGAATTCATATTAGACCAGGATAGACCAGGTCAGTTTTTGACCTCAAGATTTCTTAGATCCTCCACATCCAGCGTTCTGCACCTCGCATCGCCGACCACTGCCGGTGGTGATTTTCACGGCCTGGAAATGATCTCTACGCTGACAAGGCAAGCACTTGGCCATGTGATCCATGCTCCAAGACGTTGATTTTGGGGCTCCCCTTTAAGAAAGGACACACACTGGTGACTCTCCGAGAGTTCGTCTTATCCAAATATACGGCTTCGTCGGCCCGGGGTGCCAAAATTCCAGTTGATCACCATGTTCCAAATTTAAAATGGCTATAATTGGGGTGATAAACCAATGATAAAATGATGATTAATCATGGTTAACCAGTGGTTTAACCAGTGGTTTATCATGATTAATCATCATTTTCCTGGGCTGCTCCAATGGATCCCATTTTCTCCACCAATTTCTGGAGAAAATCATCGGATCTCCTCCAATGGGCTGCTGGGTTCCAGGGGATCAAAGCCACCATTGGCAAAGACCTGGCCAAGAACACTCCTGGTAGCATGTGGGAAAATAATAATAATAATAATATATATATATTGGAGGATCCCAAGAAAAACATAGGGTAAACTGGGTAAACAATGAAAAACAACATTAAGAGTAAGTCACTCGTTGAATCACTAAGAAATATATAGTCTTTTTGGATTAAGTGCTCCAATGTTTGTTGGATGATCCATAGATGTCATAGAAAATGAGGCTTGACGTCTGGCTGCAGAAACACTACAAAAATGAAATGATAGAGACAAACACATCTTTGTGCCTCTCTATGACCACGAATGGTGCTTTGCAGTAAATTGATCCTAACGATATGGAACAAAATATCAAAGTCAACATTCAACATAATATTGCCGTATGTGAGCAATGCTACTGGTGCCTGTACCTCATAGCTAGGCCACTCTCCACTTGGTTGATGGGACAAATATCGTCCAAGTAATGGGCTGTCCTGAAGAAACTCTCGAATCACAGAAAAATCAATTCTAAGAATATGGCTATCAAAGCCCTGGCTGGCCCTTTCTGTTCGCGTCAAATTTTATGTCTTGAAATGGGTGTTCATACACCCAGTCACACTGTGTGTAGCCATCGATACCATGACATGCCATGACTCATCTCCAGGGTCCGAAAATCGCAGAAACCCCAAAATCACATGTTTCATTATACTGGTTGGTTCATAGTGATTCCAATATTGGATTATTGTAATCCCCAATATATTGGGTAGTATAGTCCCCGAACTAATCATCAACCAACAGGGGTTTAGCAGCCACTGGTTTTTCTCAACATGACAGTGGGACCGAGATCACTGCAGGGCCGCGTTCGGTCCGTGGCTCACCCAGTGTGCAGCCCTCCCCGTTCTCACCCATTTGATCGCCTCGATCGCCGACTATCGCGGCAGGGGATGGGCAGGGGATGGTTTTCAATGATGATACAAAGAAATGTATGGTAAAGGTGTCTGTATATTATATTATATATAGACCATATATGACCATATATAGCAAACTAAGTATGCGGAAAAAGGTGGAATCCAAAAGTTATCCAATAACCAGGGTCGACTTTAGGAGCGAAACAAATAATTGTGGCCAGTGCCACTGATCCAGTCCTGGAGTTGCGACCTTTGTGGAGTTGCGAGTTCAAGAAACCCATCAGCATGACCAGTGACAGGAAGACGAGCAAAAGGAATCTCTACAACAAAACTAATACTCTATTCAAGAACATCATACAACCCGAATAACAATATTCTATATTATTCTATATTATTATTCTATAATTAATATGCTACTCCCTAATCAGGTTATTAACCCAGGGACGCAACACCGCATTCCTAGCAGTATCGATTCGCTGCGCGAATCGGTCACAATCCAAGGGCTCCCGGCCGCAGAATGCAATGCGCCAGAAATTGAAGACAGGCAGCTGCTCCCTCACCGTGGCCCAATGATGACCAAAGAAAAAACCACAAGCTCCTCACTTCTGTCGCGCTAGTCCTTGACATGAAAGTATTCAGTGGTCATGACATGAATAGCGTTGAAGTCACAACATACCAGAACCACTCGCACATCTTATGCAAGGTGATGAAGTCCATACACCATCTATTTCTATATGGATCTATAATGTGCGACACCTTGCTTCAAGGAAATATCAGAATCATGCCTGCATTCCCCTGAGCTGTAGTACTGGATTCATTTGGCATGTTTGCAAAGGCACATACTCCACTCAATGGATTGGTTTGAGGGAAAATCTACAGGATACCCATTTTTTCTCCATCAAATCTGGAGGTTTCCTGTAGATTTTCCCTTAAACCAATCCAATGACCCTACACATCTGGGTTTAAGCTTCACACGGTCTTGTAATTGGAAAGCGGATCAGAGTGAGGCCTCACAGCCGGTGTACTGACTACCAAATTCCCTGGATACTATGGAATCCAGTCTGACAATTTCAATGCCTGCCAAGAGCAAATGAACCTTCCCTATCCTTACCTCATGAATTGAAACGTAACTAATTAGTAATATTACCTATGACTGAAATCGATAGTTTACTACCAACTCGTCTGCAATTCAGGCTGCATCTCCTACCTGTTCTCAACCGCCGAGTCTTGTCCAAGCGAACAAGAAGCTGGCTGTCGCCTCGCATGATGCAATTGGGGATCCAAAATGATACACCAAAAATGTAATTTCTCTGACAACATGATGATAAACTATTCACATCTATTCACATTGAAAAACATTTAACATATAACATATTATGAAGTTTCGAAGTCCCCCATTTCTAGACCGCAACCCCATCTTATGTTCAGCACTCGTCATCGGCGAACGGACCTGCTTGTGCTTGAAAGGGCGACAGGTAGAGGCTCTCACCAAAGGATCTTGATGCCTCCGAATTTCTGGACGATCTGTTGAGCCACCCAGGTCCAAAAATGAGATGCATACTGATGTGTGATGATGTGTAATGCCGTATAAACTTAGTATAAATCTTAAACCTTTAAACACCCATGGAGTGACTATCCGATTTATCATCCTCGGGTGGGGACTTGGCTGTGATCTCAGGACGGCCCCAAAACATGAGCCAAAGGAGTTTACCATTCCTTCTGCTCATGCTCTCAAGCATCATAGACACAAACATCATTCAAACATCTGTCGTATAGCTATATATTGATGTAATATATATATATATACGTACAATTACGTATATATATATTATATATATATATATATATATTTATGTCTCTCATAAACATTATAAATACATTCTATGCATGTCGCACTTCAGGTGCAACTCATAACCGAATAATGCTAATGGTAGTCCATTGGTTGCTGGTGAAATATCCCCACGAACCATCGGCCAGTTGCTTCGAACGACAATCTCACCTTTTCTGCCGCAGTGTGGGTTTTGTTCGTCCCTGGCTGTGTGAGTTAGGCCGTGGCCTCCACAACAAGCTCTGAGGACGTCACAAAAATTGTTACGGTGTAACTACGGCAATGGCAATGTTCAAATGGGTTTGTCCAAAATATGAGAGATTGGCCCGGCTCCCAATTTGAATGTATTTGAATTAGGATAATTATGGATAATTAGGATAGATTTGAAATTGATTTGAATAGTTTGGAAATGTTTGGAACATAATGATCCTGATGGTCAACTACTGGATTTGGGGGATGGGCTCCCATTTTTGGACAACCACAAATGATAGTGCGGCTTGTGGCACTTCTTGCGGGCTCCGGGTACCAGTCCCTGGATCACCCTGATCATATCTGATGCTGGAAACCGACTGTTTCCCCGACTAAAGAAGATCATTTTCCAAGACCGCCCGGAAGCGGATCTTTCCACTTCTGACCTTTTCCAAAGCTTCCTCCGCCTTGGAGTGTGGGAAGCGCTCGATGATGGGTTTCACTCCATTCTTCGCAGCAAAGGCAAGCATGTCCTTGCATTGTTGAGTTGAACCGACGGGTGATGCCGAAATAGATCTGCGTGTGAACATCATTGACATCAAGTCCAGCGTCAAAGGCTTGTCTGGAATACCTACAAAGTGCAAGGTACCATAGGGCGCCAGCAGGTTGATGTAAGGATGAACATCCAATTCTCCTCCAGAAATGCAAGAGATGATAAAATCGAAGCTTCGAGCGGCTGCCTCCATCTCTTCTTTGCTCTCAGACACCAAAAAACCCGTGGCTCCAAGTTGGAATGCGAAATCCTTCTTGGCGGCATTTCGTGCGATGACCACTGTCTCGGCTCCCATCTTCGCTGCAAATTGGACAGCCAAATGTCCCAATCCACCGGGCCCAATGATTCCAACCTTCTTGCCCTTCAAATTGGCGGTGTTGCCTCAGCTCTCGGAAAACAGCTGCAGTGCTAAAAGAAGTTCTGTGGAGCATAATGAGCATATTAAAAGATATTAAAAGACTGAGCACCATGGCTAGCACCATCCATTTGGGAGCTACCAGCTTGGGCAGAAGTTGCATGATTTTGGAATTTTGGAACATCAAAACTTGGCTGGTAAGCGCATGTTCTTCCTCCCAGTGATGATATTAGTTATGGGTCAAAACTTTCAAAACCCTACCCCAGGTGAACACCAAAATAGGTAAATGGAGCTTCCTCCCAATATCAAGAATATGATTCAGAATAATCAGAATATGGTCTAGGTATGTCTAGGTAGTCTAGGTGTTCATCCATCTCTGGATTATCTGGTCCCGTTTTGACTTCCGTAGCGGACTCCGCTAAGGCAGGGTGCCTGAGAACTCGTTGAGCGGGGTGAAGGTGGTGACTCCGGCACAGAGCAACGGGGCCGCTTCGGCTGGATCTAACCCAGCGGGGATTTTCAGCACCTTCGACGCAGGGGTGCGGATGTAGGAGGCGAAACCACCACGGTGTTGGAACTCTCCTGAAGCAAAAAGGGGAGGTAAAATGGGGCAAAAATGGGGCAAAATGTAAGATTAGAAAAGGATAGAAAAGGGAAGCATCAATGAAGGCTTTGATGTACAGTACTGTTATTCTACTGTCATGTAACTGTATAGATTGGAGGATCTTGTGGGATGGAAAATTGAGGCGACCATGATCCGCTCATGCTATGCTGCTATGCCCTGCTCCAAGTCGCCAGTCTCATCCGTGACGGTATGGAAGTAGGTGAACTTCAACTGTGGGCACAGGTTGTCCCGTTGCTCGGTGGTACACTTGGGACATTGCTCACAGGACTGAGCCAGGCATCCAAGTCCCACGAGCTCACCCTTTTCGAAGCCAGTGACATTGGAACCAACGGACACCACCTCGCCCACAATTTCATGGCCTGGAATCAATGGAAAAACAGAGAAACCCCAGGCATTGTTGATCATGTGAATATCTGTGGCACAAACTCCACACTTGGTGATTTTGATTGTCACATCATTCACCCCTTCAGGCTTCATGCTGTAGTTCCACACCGCCATCTCTGCACCCTTTTCCATGGCAGCCATAGCGGGAACTGTCTCGGGACTTGTCATGATCAACGTCGTTCAACAGCGGAGTCTCCAAATGGAAGCTATAAACTGCGGGAGTAGCTGAATGACGCAACTATCTGCAGCTGTTGCAGCGTTTACAAATCATTCACATCACCCTTCGGCTTTAACTTCGGATGCATAGAAGGAATGATGTGGTCGCATGCACATGCACAAAGAACATCAAAGAACAACAAAGCTTTTCAACAAGTAGACACATCTCCAGTCGACCTCAGCAAACCGCAGGGATCCGCACCTGGATGTCGCTTGAGTCCAGTTGAAAGTCAGGTTCCTTGGGGAAGTCAATCAAGATGCCCCAGAGCGGGATGTCCACATCGTCCAAGATCTGAACGCGAACGGCGGAATGATGACGCACTCAGCCTCATGAACCATTGGGGATTACGGATTACTTGCGCTGGCAGTTTAATACAATCTAATTTTAATCTACATCTTGACGGATCTTAACATCTCAACTAAAATAATTCTAATGGATCCGAATAGATCCCAATGGATCTCAATGCGATATGACATGATCATGGCACGTGGTCGATGTCCCTAGCGGCGCGGCGCGGCGCCTCGATGGGAACAGTGACATAGAAGGCAGTATCATCTTAGTGACCACTGTGCAACAGACTCGGCCAAGCTACGAATGGAGTGACTCAGCATGTTTCAATGGCTATAGTGGCTATATGTGGCTATAGTCAAATCTCTGGTACCGTTCGCCAACAGACTCGGCTCATCACATTGGAGAAGCTGCGTCCACCAAAACGACAGAACCTGAACGGGAGGCTAAGCCCAGTTGCATCCCAAAACAATCCATGACGGTGACATGATGTGACCTGAAGATTCCTGAAGTGTGAAGCGCCTGTGCGAACATCCCAACCTAAAGCCATCTATAGCCATCTATAGCCATCTATAGCCATCTATGGCCATGTGTATCTTTCACTGCCAAGGTCTTCCCGTTCCAAGGTTCTGGCACTTGCTCTCAAACCTGCCATGAGATGTGGCTGTGGCTGATGTGGCTTTGGCTCCAACCGTCGCTAGAACAGATTGACTGAAGGCACAAGCAGCAATGGAAACTATGGAAACTATGTTCTGTACTATTCTGTACTGATTCTCGCAAATTCTGGCAAATCTATTCGTTGATCCCTTCATTTCGCTTGAATGTTTGCATCCAGAATCCAGCTGGCAATTTTTGGACCGGATGCCTTGTTGGACAGGCTCTCCAGGCACTTTAAGTGACACGTCCTGCACGGGCCATCATGGCTGGTTTGACGGGGAAGATTCTTCATCAGTTATTCACATTCCTTCTCAGTATATGTACGTGTCTGAAATTGGGATTAACACCAGGCCATTTCAGCAGGGAAAATGGTGATGAACCCATGAAGCACTGGATTTGGGGATACCAAATTTAGAGACAAATGCATATTGTCCTTTTCACCAGGAAAGGGAAGGCAAGGGACAAATTCAGAGGCAGTATCCTGCTGTAGTACCTTCGAATTCGGACAAACTCTTGGTCCCTATCACTGTTCTTTCATGGTGGCAGTGCTTTCCAGTCCAGATTTCGGTCATCTGGCATTTGGAGGAACACATCGAAGGTGTTGAGAGACTCTTGGGGGTTTTGTCCTCAGAGACGGTGTGATCTGCAGTCGACACCAAGTCCAGCAATCCAATATCGATATTGTACTGTTATCAGGAAGATGATGGAAGATGTCAACCTGCACCCCCTCTTGTTTTTCTATGTGTTTCTCACATTGTTTTTTTTGTGATGAGGATGTCTCCCTGTTAATGACAGACCCCCAAAAAACAGGAACCTGAAATGGATCCAGTGCGTTCCACCAAGGTTTTTGGCAATGGGTCACTGAGGTTTCTGGACCGAGGCACGAGGTGTTTCACCCGGCACAATGACCAGGTGCAAGCCAGCTTTCAGCGTCTCATTCAAGGTAAGTGTGACCTCACAACATCTGTGGCTTGATATGGTTTGATATCACTAATTTGATATCACCAACTTTAATAGGTGTACTGCAAATGACCAATCTTGCTGAGTCTATTGAGTTTATTGCCTGCAAAATCCTACAAATATGATTTAATCATCCGCAACAGTTGGCCAACAATTTGTTGGGTTGGATTCTGTAGCCGATTTCTTCATACCAAAAAAATATGCGCCAGCCTCAGCGCCTGACCCTGGGTGGATTCACAGAGGTTTGACATCTGGTGATGGCTCCCAGGGACCCAGGTTTCACCTGGCATCAAGGGATTTCTGCGTTGAAAAACCTGTTGAAACAGCCCTACAAATGCAGTCCTTGGGAGCCACTCCAAAGGATGGAAGACCAAAAATTGATGGAACATCTGTAAATGTTTATGAAATGAGAAACCTATGCGGCCACCCACAAAGGACATGGGATGCACAGTGGATGCACACCGTGAGCGTCTGATACTAGCAGGGGATGCCATATCAAAACTCGCCAGCGCAGCTGTGCCCCGCTTGTTCTCACAACCAAATTGCTGCAAATCAGGTGGTCCCTTGATCATCACCTGCACCAAGAGAACAACGCGATCTATCAGTCTCAGTTTCGACATTGCTATCTGTTGTCACTATAGTCAACTATATAGTCTAATAATCTAATAATGTCTAAATATGTCCAATAGTCTCTTTATTGCCTCTTGATGTCTCTCAACTTCCCAGGTCCCTTGGGGCTACACGGGGCTACACCCCCTTTTCTGGTTGAGCCATCCCGGCCTTGCCCTGCGCTGGGACGTCCACGCGGCTTGTAAAGACAACACCAATATCCACAGGAACGGAGGCCAAGGATCCATAAATGACCTGCGAAAGTCGCACTCTTGCCCCAACATGTTGAAAAACTGTGTAATTTGACCAGCCTAATATCAACTAGTTTATATTACGAATACAATTGTTTATATAATTGTTTATTTAATACTGGACTGTTTATATATGTCTATTATATATTATATATAATTTAAAAAACTCAATGTTCTGGACCGGTCTGAGCTGCAGTGCATTCGATTCTCCAGGGATCTCCATGGATCTCCAGCCTGCACTTCCATGTTCTCGATATCAAAGCCGGCCAGCGTCCCACGTCCAAGTCGATCACCGCCACCGCTGCTGTTGGTGCCATCGACGGCTTCCACAAACCACACCTGCCACGAACAATCGTGGAGACGATCCAAAACATTGCGAAAAAACGAAGCGAGAAACCATGAGAATCATGAGAAACCAGTGGTTAAACCCGATGGTATACCAATGGTTTCTGGATGTTTCTGGATGTTTCTGGAGTGTCAATGCATCTTTCAACCGACAAAAATCCAAGCGAGCTACCGTAGTTTGTCCATCCCGAATAGACATGCCAGGAAGGACATTCTCTGCCGGTGGAATCGAAGCCTCAGGCCTCAAAAAGGTGGGCATTGATTCGTTGATTTGTCGATGCATTTTGAGCGTTCAACATGCAGCATGCATTGCAACGACATTCCCGAAACATCCTCAGAGTCCATCCCAAATTGTCAGTTGGGATCGTCCTCAGATATCCTTATCATGTCAGGCAAGGATAGGAAACAAATAGTTTAACCATGTTTAACCCCTAGGAAACGATGTGGAATCCCCGAGAGCTATGCACTCTACCAGTATGTTTAAGGGGCATAACTTGAACATTTGCCAGTTGTCTGGGGATGATGCGGGAGTTACCATCCCGCACTGGATGCGGTTCCCAGGAGTATTGCCTCATATTGGTATGGATACAAGCTTGAGACATCTTAAAACCACTAAATCACGAATTTTGGTGAGCGCCAAGTTCTAAAAAGGTGGTTTTCCCCAGTGATAAAGCTCCAATTTTGGATGGTTTGTACCATCTATGGCAAGATGGTCCGGGATGGTTGAGCCCCCAGACGTCGAAATGTAAATCACCGCAGGGGCCTCAATCGATAGCATCGACTAACTGTAGGTCATGAAATAGGTATATAAACGACAACAATGGATGCTTCATGGATGATTAATGGATATTTTATATTTATTAATACTTATGAATTAAATTATGGATTATGTATTAGATGATGTATTGGATCAGGTATTGGATGATTCATGATTAATGGATGAATGGATAATGGTTGGATGATTAATTAATGATTCAATGGATCGTTAATGCATGATTAAATCATGATACATGGCTGATCAATGGATGATTATACATAATGGATAATGATCAATGGATTAACTGATGCAATGCTGTTGACTTTCCAGGGCTGGTTAAGATTCGAACATATTCTGACCATCGCAAATTGGTGGTTGGCTTTACCAGATAAACAACAATAGGTTCCCAACTTTTGGGGGGCAATAGTAGCATCAAGTCCGGCAACAACTTTCCTGCTGAGAAGTTGACGGTTTGTCTCTTTCCTGTGTCTTGTAGCAACCTTTTTGCAGCTGTCATCTGAATTAAGGCCTCGACGTCTCGGAAGCACTCCGTTCCCAAGCCCTTGGCATTCGTTTCCCTGCGATCAGCCTGGTGGCAAGTAAAATGAAGTCACGTTAGTCCAATGATGAAACAGTCTTCAAAGTTTAAGCCAACATCGTGCAAAGTAGAGTCTTACCGAAGCAAGAAAAGCGTTTACATTGCCTTAGCGAAGA